TCTCTCATCAACAAAGAAAGCGATTAAGCAGTCAACAGTGTCCACTTCTAAGTACAATTTGGCACTCAACAAAAATTCATATAATAAAGACTTTATTTGGCAGTCAGAGTTCCATATAATCTAGATTCATCCCACCGAGATATTTCTCCTTAAATGTCCCGTATGTCCTGGTCATTTGGAATATTAATTACTTTCAGGACTTGCTCAGTCATTTCCTTACTCTTCTTCATGGGTCAAGTGTGTCTTGGAGGCCTTCTTCCTCTTTTTTTCTGCCTACCACAGCCCTACGTACCTTGCAAGGTCTTTCCCAATAGCTGCTCCTCACGGGAAGCTATCCACCTGCAGGCTTTTCTCTCCTCTGAACTTTTAAATGCTAGGTTCGGACTTCCACCAGATGTTAGGTTCCTCAGTAAGGACTGTGCTAGTCACTTGTGTTATTACCACAGTGTATGGAACACAGTAACTGTCTCACTTGCTGGGGGTAACCGAGTAATGATTTGACGAATGCATTTCCTGCTAAGTATGTCTCTTGAAGCCAGGGAGGCACTATGAAGCCTTCATGCTTGAAGGCAAACTCCCTGCTGGGATCCCTCTGTGTATGTGTAGACTTGGTGAACTGCAGCTGTATCTGGAGCTGAGATAAACAAGAAAACCAGGAGTGGATGCTCTCTGCTGTCATTGGTAAAGCATAGTTTTTTCTCTTTGTCGTTTTTTCATTTGGCGCAGTATGCCACTTGTTGCTTTCCTTAGGTAATTCTTCTCCAAGGGATTATTGATTCTGAATGTCCTTGCTCTTCCTGGCTCCAAGCTGTTTCCTCCGCTTAGGGCTGGCATATCCTACAGCAGCTCTCCTAATAGCCTCCAGCACTCTTCCATGCATCCTACTCTTTACTGACACTAATAAAGAGTCTAACAATAATGAGTGTCATTGAAGCGTATTTTATTAGCGGGGAGTTTGCTACAGTACATCTTTAGGGCAGTAGAAGGGTACAGAGTAAGGTCTTGAAAGCGGGACAGTGGTTTTATAGATATTGACCTAAATAATACATGATCTAAGATGATGATAATGGTTGGAAAGGTAATAATAATTTCAAATAAACCCATGCACCAGTTTAAAACAAATCAGTGCTGAGGTGAAAGTTAGGGGAATCTTTCTGTGATCTTTAGAGACTGGAGTTACTAAAAGGAAGATATGAGGGGTAGTGACATGGGTCAGCAGGTGGGGGCACCTGACACTAAGCTTGCTGACCTGAGTTTGATCCCCAGGACCCACAGAGCAGAATGAGATAAGTAATTCTATTAGGCTGTCCTCTGATCTCCATACAAATGCGGTGGCTCACATGCACACAATTGTACACAAAAAAATGAAGGTAATACAAATTAAAGGGGAAACATGCTCACAAAATAACTCAGGATGCAATATGAAATTTGAAGGAGAAGAAGGAAGAAAATGAGAGTTTCTAGTTGCCTTGGGTGAGCTAGATCTCCAAACACTGGTGAACTAATGCAAATAGCTTGGCAAGGAACCACACCTTGAGCATCCCTGTGCTCGCTTAAGTGGGTTTACGTCACAGTGTCTCGGGGATCGGGGCCGCTTGAACTGCTTCCTGGTGCTCAGCTTGCTTTTCTGAATGACCTTCTGCAACTTGTTAACGTTCTCCCGAGTGAGAGGCCTTGGAGTGCTCAGAGACAGGGTGGAAAAGCCACCCCGGAAGCATGGGGGTGAATCACACAGCTTTTATTTGAGGTGTTAGCTATTGGAAGTGTCACTCCGGAGAGTGGCTCCTGCCTGTCATGTGGAGAAAAGAATGAAAGGGAGGGATATCTCCTCCTTTCAGACCTCCTGAATTGCTCTAGACAGAAAGCATGAATAATGTAAATTTGAAAATATTGTAAAACAACCAATTAGTTAATTTTTTGGGGGGTGCTGGGGATCAAACCCAGGGTCTTGCACATGCTGAGTAAGTACAATCCCTTTAAACTGCCTTCCAGCCCTTGTTTATTTAATTTTTTGAGGCTAGGGTCTTACTGTGTAACCCAGGCTGATTCTGAACTGGTTAGGTAGTACAGGCTGGCCTTAAAGTCAAGTTCCTCTGCCTCCACCTCATCCATGCCCAGCCAAAATAATCATTTTGATGATTCAAAGACGTAAGTGTGGAGACAGCTAAAAGAAGTTCAAAGTATACCTCATTCAGTCAACAGATATTAGCTGAGCCTCTACAGTATTTGGGTTGTGGAACTTTCCCTAATAAAATCTACTTATCTGGCCCATAAATTGTTTACTTTGTTCATTTTACATGAAAAATTATTTAAAATTCTATTTCAAATTTCCAAGGTCATTAAAAGTGGACTGTACAGCATACAATTCAAGCCTATCTTAATGACTACCACCCGCAACCCTCTCTGGCTGACGTCCAATCTCTGCATGGAGAACCCCTTGCACCTCATGACCCGCCTCTGACTACACAGCCCATCTCTGTGATCTGAGAATCAGAATACCCTGGTCAGTAGGACTGAATGTAAAGGGGTAGTCAACCCGACTTCAGTGTATCTCTTAGAGAGTAGCTCAATTGAGCTTCAGTGATTCCCAGCTGAAGCTTCAGCTCCTGTGTAGCCTGGGTCAGGTTTCTCCAGGATGCTGGTGAAGCTGAGACACCTGATCTAGATTATGTGAAATAGTCCCATACTTGACACTTGGCAGCTGTGCAGTGCCGATGTAAGACAGGCGATTAGCAAAATGAAGCGAGATGTGGCCATCACACTTACACTCTCACACTTGGGGTGCTAAGGCGGGAGGGTTACCACAAGTTTGAGGCCGCTCTGTGCTACCTACTGAGGTCCAAGCCAACCTGGACACACACGTGTGTAATATGCACACCTGCCTTTTATAAATATGAAGGCTTTCTACTTTAAGTCACTCTGCTAGTGTGTCTTCATTTATTTCTAAAACAGTCTATGTATTTCCTTGGTGTTCCTATGTTGGCAACATGACATTAATATATCTTTATTATGTCCTTGGACATTCAAACAACATAATTTATTTTCTTAATCATGCTTGAGAAAAATGCTTGATACTAAAGCATCCAGGGACAAGCTAAGTAGTAAAAATTTCCTTTTCTTAGTAAGTCAGGTTTCAGGCAGGGAAAGCCTATGCCGATAATCCCAATACATAGGAGGCCAAGGCTGGAGGATTGTGACTTCAAGGCCAGCCTGGGCCGCATATCAGAACTGTCTATCAAAGAAAAAAAGTTTTTGTTTTTACTCCTTTTTATTTTGAGAGGTTTCTTTGTATAGCCCTGGCTGTCCTGGAAAACTAGCTCTATAGATCAGACTGGCCTCAAACTCACAGAGTTTTGCTTGCCTCTGCCTCCTGAGTGATGATGGGCTTAAAAGTGTGCACTACCACTGCATGGATGTTTTTACTTGTTCATCCAGTACTGAACTCAGTGGTGAATGTCTGCACTCCCAGCACTCAGGAGCCTAAGGCAGGAGGGTCATAGGTTGAAAGCCATTCTTGGCTACCACGAGGTTGAGGTCATTCTGGGCTCATGAGACCTTGTCTCTAAATAAGAAAACAAAACTACATCTAGGCTTAGTGTTCTGCCCAGGCTTTCTGGTCCTCTGTCCTAGTGTATGGGAATCCATCTTCTGCTTCTTTCACTGCTCATTTTTGCAGGAGCAGCCTCTCCTGATGATGGAGACAACGCGTGACTGTGACATAACTCTGTAAGACATGATCCCGAGGAGACAATCCATTGTAAATCTACTTCCCCTCTTGTTCATCTTTTTCTCAGAGAGGTTGGTACTTGGTTTTGTAGTTTTATCACCTTCTCCATTCACTTAGTTTTCATATATTGCTGTTGTATGGATATGGTATTATAGTATTCATGTAAAAACTGAGGGACACCAATCTTTTAAAACTGGCTTTGGAACTGGCATGCAGCTATGCTCTGACATCAAATCAATTGGTTTCCATTGCTATGCTCCAGAGTCAATATCCAAACGGGTGAAGTTTGAAGTGGTAGCTCGAGGTGCCTCCATATGCTGAACACCCATAAAGTAACTGATCTCTCTTTTATATCGAGTAATAGAGATAGCTATAGCTATAGATATAGATGCAGTATCTTCTGCATCATATCGAGTAATAGAGATTGTTATAGCTATAGTGTATCTTCTGCATCTTCCCATGCGGGTTTGTCCCCATAGCCTGGACTCCGAGGCCTCCAAGGCATGTCTGTTGTGGGTCATGACGACCCATACTCAGTTTTCTAGCCCATTCTCCAAACTAAAGTTTATGCTTTACTGCATGGTTCTGGAGACATCATTGAGTAGAGAGAAGAGGGCTACTTCAGTAGGCAAAAGCAACCAAAACTATAACAACCTATCACTAAGACTCTGAAGAAGTTGTTTGGCTACCCACAGAACGACTGTGTGTGAAATGGAAAAAATCATAACACAGTCTGTAACTAACCCGACCTCCACATAGTGACTTCTATCTGCAAATGGAAATTGCCTTTTGAGGCTGCTGGGAGATAACCTGTGGGCAATGACTCTGTCCACACAGGTGTGCACATATCTATGAAATGTTAACTATTTATCCTCCTCTATCAGGCAGTACTTTGACTCAGTCAGAGAAATCACACTGTTTGCTTTGTTTATTTGGTAAGCACAGATTCTTCTATTCTCTACAAATCTCAGCTGAGTTGCTGTGGTGATGTGGCCACCAGAGGTCCTTGTAGACATCACTTAGCTCCAGTGAAGCTGAAGGGTTAAAGGGGTTTCTGGTCCTTAGCAAATACAAGCTTCTTAATGAAGGCATTATCACCACTATCCAGGGCAGCAAAAACAGCCACTAGCTTATTAAGTCACTGAAGTACAATTTACAAAGTTTTGGATGCACGCCGTCTCTGGAATTAGGATAGTTCTAGCAGAACAAACGACACAGGAGGATCAATGGGGGAATGGGTGGGGGCAATGGGGCAAACTTGTAGGATAGACTCTGAGCCACCTCTCCCTTGGGGCACAGCTTCCAGCAATGTCATAGTCCTTTTCACCAACTTCTCTGGATGTCGGTGATCCAGAGATTGAAGACTCCGTGGTGTAGAAGACCCTGCTCTCCATGCATGGTGTCTGCAGTGACAGTCTCTCAGCCAGGGTGCCCTGCTCTGTTCAGGAGCAGGATGCACTGCAGAAGGGCCCTGGTGGAATCTGGTGACTGCACCGAGGCGCGACCCCAGCCCTAAGGCCACCGCTGCCTCCACTACACGGGCTGGGGGCTCCCACCCTGAGGCCGGCTCGGTGCTTGGCTTGGCTGCTGTTCAGTCTGAGCTCCCCCCTCTCCCTCCCAGTCCCTGGAGGCTCTGTGGCTGCCGGAGCTGGAGGTGGAGCCCAGCCCTCGGCCGACTGGGCAGGAGGGAAAGTTCAGCAGCGGCGGGAGCAGCGTAACAGAGGGAGCCCCGCCCGGCTGTCCGTAGGGCTGCCTGGGGTAAGTAAGGGGTCCCTTACCCCGAGTGCGGGCCGGGCGTGGTTGGCTGCTTGTGGGTGTGTTGCTGCCGCTCGCCTGTCTGCTCAGCCCAGTGCCACTGCCCATGCGACCTCGGAGTTGGCTGTCTGTCAGCCCTGGAGGACAACCCCAAGGCTGGTCTCCTGTGATTACTGTTATTCAAGGGCCGAGGCTCCGCGATCACTACCCGCTGTAGCTGGTGCTAAGCGCGTGGGGGGCTCAGTGCCTCTAGATGGACGCTCGAGTATAGCTCCGTGCGGGGGTCCCTAGTGCCGCACGCCCGTGGTCAGCCCGGCTTCCCCAGCGCTTTTCGAGGCCGGAGCTTCTGGCTTACTAACCATACTCCCCCCACCCTTTTCAAAGTAGCTTTGGCACGTGCGGGCACCCCTAGTTTGCTGTTCCTTATTTATTTATTGCTATGATGGAGAGGGTGACCCGTGGGCAGGACGCTCTCCTGCGTTGTACCAGGGTAATGGTGATTCTCTGGATCCCGAGGGTCTCCACTATCTGAGAGTGATCTGGAGCAAGAGTGTGCGCCAGTGGTGGAGAGAAGCTCTCTTGGAGCATGTTCTTGGGGTACAGTGACGCATTCCGAGGGCTAGAGGAAAAGGAAAGCTGTGCTGAGCAAAGGCGAAGTTGTTTGTTTCCGCTTCACTTCCTGCACCTGTACCCTTGTCGTCAGTGATTTCGAAGTTATAGAGGAAAAGATATTAACAGTACTGTACATGCCCAAACACTGAGCCTCGGTGGATGCTAAAATTGAAATAGTAATGAATAATAGGGCGGCTGTATTTTGCAAACTCCATTTTTATTCTGATTTCAACGCTTGGCACAATTTTCACTCAAATGCCATTAAAGATAACTAACTACAGTTCCATGTTTAAAGGAATATAAATGTCTAGTAAATCTTAGTAATTCTACAGGGTTTCTTGGATTGGGTTAACACTTTTCACGCAAGAGAGTCCCAATTATTGTGAACTGTGAGCATTTATAGACTGTGGGGTTTTGGCCACGTGGAGAGAAGTCTTTCAAACGTGGAAATGAAAGCCCAAGGCAGAGAGTGACTGGTGCCCTAGGCATGAAAGGTCATCGGAACACACCAAAGAATCATTACTCCCATAGAGGGGTCGTGCATGGAGCTTTCAGAAACTGCTAATTCTGGGAAAATATGAGATGGGCCATAACCACTGTAGGAACTTAATACATGTATAATAATTTTCTCTGCATTGAGCTACCTATCGGGTGTGTCCAACCTGCAGCCTATTAGTGCAGCCCAAGACAAAATCAGGAATTTACTTAAAACACCAAAGGTTTTTTTGTAATTAATGTCCTCAATTTGGTGCAATTTGTCAAGCTTGAACTTTGCAGATTAGGACACACCTGCTGCCACTTCAAATCAAGGAATTTTCCTCCTGAGGACAATGTTTCTTTTTGTAGCCTTGGCTGTCCTGCTACTGACTTGGTAGACCAGGCTGACCTAGAAATCAGAGATATGTCTGCCTCTGACTTCCAAGCGTTGGGATTAAAGGCATGCAACAGCCAAGTCATGATCACACAATATTACTTTAATTCTCTCCATCTTTTGGTCTCAGATTTCATATGTTTAGTTGTAAGCTTCAAAGAAAATATCCAACATTTGGATTCACCAATTTATATTACTGTGATACTGTGCTTTGCAATTCCAGAAAACTGTTATCCAAGAGACTTGTCCCACTTTTTAACTGTATGACCCCGGGCAAGTCACTTGTTCTTTCCAATACCAGAATTCTAATGTTTAAAATGGTTGTGACACTCCTCACTTGACAGAGATATTTGGAGAATTAAATAGCATTTTTCCTAAGTTCTTAGAACACAGTAGGCTTTTCTTGAATACTAGCTCTTTTAGATATGGTTTGACACTTAAAACCTTTAAAATTTGTGATTCTTCTTTTATGTGGTCTTTTGCTCATCCATCCATCCATCCATCCATCCATCCATCCATCCATCCATCCACCCATCCATCCATCCATCCACCCATCCACCCATCCATCCACCCATCCATCCATCCACCCATCTATCCACCCATCTATGAGGCTATTGCTCACTGAAGATCATTGGATGTTGCCGTGCCTGGCTGTTTGAACCTGGAGGCTGGCACTGTGGAGGATGGTGGTAGGCAATGTTTCACAGGGTTCTTTTGGCTGAAAATCCATCATTAGGATGTGGGATGATGAACTGGACTTTCCAGTCTTCCTGTATCCCTGGTCCTATGCTTAATAAGATGATGCCACACTGAAAAGAGGAAAACAGTAGGCTGTGCATGGCTGCTGTTTCCCCTGCTTCCCTCGTGCCATCCAGCTCCATACTGACAGGCAGTAAGGACTTAGATGTATGCTGGTTTGAAATTCCCAGTGTAATGAAGTTATTCTTCAGGTCACATCCTTCTTTTGGTATTCCTGATGAAAGGACCTTGGGGCTGTAAATTATAGCCCTACCATATATTAAGACTAACAGGTCCTAAGGAGGCTGGGCTCAGGTAGACTTTATTACCTATTGATTTTGGCCTCATGATAAAGTGGTCTTATAAAACTTGTAAAAGCCGAGGCCTAGTAGTGGCTCCACCACTAGGGGCCTCCTCTGCACACTGGATCACTCTGGTTTGTCATTTGTCTGTCTATTCAGATAGCAGAGAAATTGAGCTTCCAACACCAGGGAAGAATACATATGTAAAAAGCATTAACAATGGCCTGAAAATAAATGAAAGCCCTCTTTGATTGACTCAGTGGGGTTTCAAAAATAACTTTAGATACTTGAAAACTGGACTTTTTACTGTATATATCCTAATACTCAAATATGGAATTTCTTAAATTTAGAAATTAAATGCATGATTTGGATGTAGAATTTTAATGTTTTTCTTTGTGTGTGTGTGTGTGTGTGTGTGTGTGTGTGTCCATCTGTTTTTGATGGAACTTTTTATTAATCTTTTAATAGCCTTTTCTCTTAAATGGATATCTGCAGCTACAAGCATATGTATATGTGCTACATATACATTGTGATGTATTGTAGGAATATGAACTGCTTCTCAAGGGATTTCATGTAGCCAGTTGAAGCCCCCCATTTCTCTGCCTCTTTTTCTTTTTGAAGCTACATTAAATTTAACCTTTAAAAGGTTTTGTTGCATTCTGCTGTATCTTTCTTCTGGGTGAAAAGTTTTGTTTAAGCTAGGGCCTCGTCATGTAGCAGGCTGGCCTCAAACCTTCAGTGATCCTTCATGAGCTGCCACACCCATTTACGTGTTTTGAAATCTCTTTTACTTGTACATTCTGATTTTAATGAAGTTAGTCAGGCCTGAGAATGTTTTTTGAATGCCTTGAAGGTGTTTTTACTTCCTAGATATAACTTGTTATTTCTTAGAAGAAATACTGACTGTGTTTAAACAGGCATTATTATCCCCAATATAGCCATATTGTTTGCACATAAATAAGAGAATATTTGCAGGTTTCCAGTGAGATTTAATTTATCTTGGGAAACTAAATACCTTTATTCTGCACAGCAAAGGCAACTAAGGTAAGAGAATCCAATACACTGAGACCCCAAACCTTGCAAAGGAGTTTCTTTTCTTATTTATCAGAACCTTTCTGAATTCAGAAAAATTTCAGACCTCCCATTCTGATTTCCATGTGGTATGATTTGAAAACAAGGAAATCTTATTGTTGTTATTTTTCTATGAAGGTTAGGCCAGTTCATGGCTGGGGAACAAAATAAGAGGACTAACTTTTATTGTGAAAGCCATAGATAACTTTTATTATAATTTCCACTGCTTAGGCTGAGTTCTTTGGATTTCTTTCAGGGTTCTGGCATATCAGAGAGTTGTGCAGATCCTGTTTGTACAAAGGCATTCTTTTCTAGAACCGGAAGAGATTTTTAACCTCTAGCTAGGAAAGGGCTTGGCACCTCTCAACCTCTCCTTCTCTTTCCAAAGAGGAAGTTGAGTCTCAGTCAGAATGACAGACATGCAGCTTTCTGCAGAATTGTGATTTAGTTTGGGCAAAAGCCCTGAGCTGACAAAGATTATGGATGCCTGCCGGAGGTACAGGAAATGAATGGTTCTTTATACCTGGGAGTCATTTATAGGGAACTGCATTTGGGAGGCGCCACCTGTATGGAAATGACAACTGTGAGCTAGGATGTTTTGAACCTATAACTTAATGCATGCTGCGTAATGATTTCTGTTGTTCTTAGGCAATGAAAAATCAAACATTTGGCTATCCTGGGGCCACATCTGCTCCTTTGTGTTATTTCCACACACCAAGAACATGTGAGTTGATGAAGATGGAAACAGAAAGCAGAGTCATTAGATGTGAGCTGTCTGTTTATACTGAACCCGGGGACAGCCTTGATTTTTGTATTCCCAAGGCGTAGTTTAATTTAACAATCTTCACCGATGGCTTTGCGACCATCGTCTATTCTGTTTCTGAAACTGAAGCCCTGGGTACCCTCAAAAGGGACCTTTTCTTGTCTCTCCTTTGTTAGATAAGTGAGAAAGCATTCTTAGAAAAGTCTCTAGTGCATACAAGGCTGACCTTGAATTTGTGAGCTTTTTCCTGCCTAAGCCTCCAGAATCCTGGAATTTCAGGCAAGCTCCATCACACCTAGCGTAGGTACTTGCTACTAACCTGGCCAATATGATTCAATGGTGCTACTGTTAGCCCATGAGTTTTCCTTGTGCAGTTTAGTACTGCATACTCCTTTCATGTGTGAGTGACCATGCTAGGCTAGGCAGTTAAGCCTGGTAAACACAAAGCTCATTAGAGTTCAGAGCCACTTCCCTGTTGGGCTCTTCTGTGGCACATTCTACATGTATGAAGTGTAGTCTGTAGAGGCATTGAGAAGAATGTCTACCACAGTAAGTTGTATACGTTCATATGTATAGCTCTCTGCTGTTTATAATTATTGCCTGCATTGCTTTTGGTGTAGATTAAGATTACTCCAGCCACTGAAAC